TTAAAATAATACCGAGACTATTCTTTTTAAATTAGGGGTATTACATTCTTCTCCTCTAATAAAAGGAATTCCGTCCTCGGAATTCGCCCTTACCTTCTTCCACTATATCTGGAAACTGTGAGCGAATAACATCCTCTTGTTCCCAAGAAGACTCAGCCTCATTATGGTGATTCCACTGGACATGTACTAACGATATGACTTTATTGCGAAGAACATGATCCTTTCGGTCAATAATGCGACATGGTGGCTCCACATATGTTGCATCCGGCTGCAACTCAATCTCTCCCACATCGATATGCTGATACCGATCTTCATCTCGCAGAAATTTTCGCAACATGGAAACATGAAACACATTGTGCACTCGATCAAAATGATCTGGAAGTGCCAACCGATAAGCTACAGCTCCAACGCGATCGGTAATCATAAATGGACCCACAAACCGTGGTGATAACTTCCCTTTCTTTCCAAAGCGCATTACACCTTTCATAGGAGACACTTTGAGTAGAACCTAATCCCCAACCTGAAACTCCAAAGCACAAGTACGACGATCCGCATAACTCTTCTGCCTACTCTGGGCAGTGCGCATGCGATCCCTAATAAGAGCAATCTTCTCAGAAGTATCCTTAATGAACTCAGGATCCAAAAATCGGCTCTCGCCAACCTCCATCCAACAAACAGGAGATCTACATGGTCGTCCATATAATGCCTCAAACAGTGCCATACCAATAGTCTTTTGAAAACTATTGTTATATGCGAACTCCACAAGTGGCAAATACTCTTTCCAATGGCCCTTAAAGTCAAGGACACAAGAACGAAGCATATCCTCCATTATCTAATTAACCCTCTCGGTCTGTCCATCAGTCTGAGGATGATAAGCAGTGCTAAGATGCAACTTTGTACCCAAAGCCTACTGAAAACTCTTCCAAAACCCTGATACAAAGCTCGAATCCCTATCCGATATAATAGATAACGGAATGCCATGCAACTTCACAATCTATGTAATGTAAAGTCTCGCTAACTGTTCCGAAGTGTAATAAGTGCGAATAGGTAAGAAATGAGCTGATTTGGTCAACCTATCAACGATGACCAAATGGAATTGTGATTCTTGAACAAATTAGGTAATCCCTCCACAAAATCCATAGAAATGCTCTCCCATTTCCACTCCGGTATTGGCAGTGATTGTAGAGCTCCTGGCGGCCTCCGATGATCAATCTTGACCATCTGACAAGTACTACATCGTGAGATAAATAGAGCAATGTCCCTCTTCATACCTGCCCACCAAAACTGCCGCTTCATATCCTGATACATTTTGTCACCTCCTGGATGAACCGAAAACTCAGAGTGGTGAGTCTCAGTCAGCACATCCTTCCTCAACTCATCAGCAGAAGGTACCACTAACCGTCCCTTATACCTTAAACCTCCATCAGCCCCAACATAGTATAATGGAACCTCTCCGGAAGCTATCTCTGCAACTTTATCAATGCACTGCTGATCCATGAGTTGTGCCTTCAAAACTTTGTGAATGATAGAAGGTGTAACTACCATGCAAGCCAGGAAAGCATCCGACAATTCATCCACCCTCTTCAACGCATTCCACTCAGTACTGAATAGAGCAGAAAGACTACCAACAGGTCGACGACTGAGTGCATCTGCCACCACATTCGCTTTCCCTGGATGTTACTGTATAGAAAAATGATAGTCTTTCACAAACTCCAACCACCTGTGCTGTCTCATATTCAGCTTCCGCTAAATGAACAAATACTGCAGACTCTTGTGATCGCTGAATAATCTGAAGAACTCACCCAACAGATAATGTCTCCAAATACGTAAGGCAAAAACCACAGCTGCCAACTCCAAATCATGTGTTGGATAATTAAGCTCGTGAGGTTTAAGCTTCCGAGATCCATACGAAATCGGTAGCTCCTCCTGCATCAAAACACATCCAAGACCCTGCAACGAAGCATCTGTGTACATAAGATACTCTATCCCGCTCTATGGGGTAGACAAGACTGGTGCAGAAGTCAACTTAGTCTTCAACTCATCAAAAGCTTTCTGACAATGTTCATCCCACATGAACTGTACACCCTTTTTAGTTAAATGAGTGAGTGGTCCCGCTATTTTTGAAAACCCCTGGATGAACCTCCTATAATATCCTGCTAAACCGAGAAAACTCCGAATCTCGGTAGGTGATGTAGGCTGTCCCCACTCAACAACCGCTGAAACCTTGGTTGGATCCACCGCTATTCCCCTTTCTGACACCACGTGGCCCAGAAATTTCACTTCCCGCTGCCAAAATTCACATTTCTCAAACTTGGCATACAACTGGTGCTCACGAAGCATCTGTAAGACTATTCGAAGATGTTTAGCATGATCGTCCTCTGACCTCGAGTAAATCAAAATGTCATCTATGAAGACAATGACAAATTGATCCAAGTAAGCCCTGAAGACTCTGTTCATTAAATCCATGAAAACCGCCGGTGCATTAGTCAACCCGAACGGTATCACCCGAAACTCATAAGATCCATATCTAGTGAGAAATGCTGTCCTCGAAACATCCTGCTCCCGAACCCGAAGTTGATGATATCCAGACCGCAGATCAATTTTAGAGAAATAAGTAGCTCCCTTCAACTGATCAAACAAGTCATCAATCCTGGGCAAAGGATACTTGTTACGATAGTAATCTTGTTCAACTCCCTGTAATCTATACACAAGCGGAGCGAACCATCCTTCTTCTTCACAAATAAAACCGGTGCTCCCCAGAGTGAAGTACTCCTGCGAATGAAACCCTGGCTGAGTAGCTACTGAATCTGATCCCTCAGCTCGCGCATCTCCACTGGTGCCATCCTATACGGTGCCCTAGCAATAGGCGTAGTGCCTGGAGCTAAGTCTATCACAAAGTCGATCTCGCGACTAGACGGCAACCCTGGAATCTCCTGAAATACATCCGGGTAATCCTGTACAATTGGTATGTTATCCAATAATACAGTAGTCCCCTCCTCCGCTTCCTCCTTCACATGAAACAAATAGGCGCTAGTGACCCCCCTAGAATGCGGCATAGCGATGACGTACACGTCCTGACCATGTATGGTGAAAACTACGGACCTATCATAACAATCAACTTGGGCATGGTAATGCGATAACCAATCCATCCCAAGTATCACATCATAAGTGTGCATGTCCAGGACCAAAAGATTGGCTAGAAATCTGAGTCTACCAATATCTAGTGTCACAGGCCCATCACTCTCATGAAGAATGGTTGTATTGCCTAACGGTGTAGAAATTCCATGTGGTCTACTGCATACCTGAGTCATCATCCCAGACAAAGCAACAAATGACCTAGCTACAAATGAGTGTGTAGCACCCATATCAAATAAAACACGTCCAAGTAAACCATGAATAGGAAACTTACCCTCAACAGCCTGTGGTGTCCGAACATCCTGTGGCATGGGGTTGTACACCCTGCCATAGTGCAACTGCTGCGGTGCCTGTCCCTGAGGCTGCGGTGGCGCTCGTAGAGCCGGATATGTCTGTCCCTGAATCCGTGGAACCTGTGGAGCTGGTAAAGGCACTGGTGCCCTCTGCCCCTACTGCACATGTTGTCCCTGTCTCTGTCCATGTCTTACTGTAGGACACTGCCTGGAAGTGTGACCATACTCTCCACAAGTATAACAATTACCCTGGAAAGTACCAAATGGCCTCCTCTGTCGGTTAGCCTATGGCTGACCCTGTCCTCCCTGTGGTCCCCCATTCTGCTGTCGCTGAACAGGTGCCACATCCCTGGGAGCATCTGAACCACCCTTGTGCTTCTTCCAAGGCTGCTGTCCTTGGAACTTGCCCTTGTCATTCTGTCAGTGTCCGTTCCCATTCCCTTTATCAGCTGACTGATTAGCAGAGTCTCTGTCACCCCGCTTCTCACCCTTAGCCTGTCTGAAATCCACGGTCAACTGATACTGCTGCAGAGCGGCGTCTACCACCTGAGCATAGGTAGTATAGGCTGGATTACCCGTAATAGCTCTCTTGATAGACCACACCAATCCCTTGACGAAACTGTTGCGCTTCTTCTCCTCTGTATCCACCTCTTCCGGTGCAAAGAGAGACAAGCGTGTGAACTGCTGCTCATACTCCGCTACTGTCATGTTCCCCTGCTGCAGATTAAGAAACTCAGTCTTCATGGCTGCCTTGATTGCATAAGGGAAATACTTTTCATCAAAGCATGCACTGAACTGATCGTAAGTCAATGCCATCCTCTCCGCTGCGGTGGTAACTGACTCCCACCATTGTAGTGCATCCCCAACTAGCTTGAAGGTAGCAAACATCTGCTTCTGAACCTCCGTGCACTGAACCAAGCGAAGATGTCGCTCGATGTCCTGTTTCCACTGATGAACTGCTCTCGCATCGGTGGAGCCTGTGAACTCAGGTGGGCTCCCCTTTGTGAAAGAACTCCTACCCTTCTCCCAAGTATCAATCCGAACAACCGGTGCCGGTAACGGTGCCGGCTGTACTTGAGGCTGATTCCGAAGTGCAGCGGTTACCCCTGTTTCTATAGCCCGAGCAATAAGGTCATTGATGTGAGGAAGAAACTCTGGGTCTCCTCCCTGATCCCGAGTCTGCTGAACTTCCTCATAGAACTGACCCTCATCCTCCTGACGCTGCCTACGAGCCGCCTCCCTTCGTTGCCTATTTCTCTGATTGTCCCGTCTTCTTCTAGCATTAACCATTCTGTTAACATAGAAAGACAGACATTAGTACGATTTAACCGAACCGTAAAGAACACAACGAATCCTAATCTTAGGCTCTAAATAAAAGAATACACTACGCGGAAGTCTTAAAACAATAGATCCCTAGAGACACTTGAACCTGGAGTGCTTTGATACCAACTGTGATACCCCTCAATTCTAGAGCCACGGGTGATCAAGTCCGAGCACAGAATACAAGGGATATCAAACAATTAATATTTAAACAAGCATTTGAATACAAAAAGAATAATAAATAATTAATATTTAAACAAGCATTTGGGTCCAGTCCATCTGCAATTACATGACAGCCTATCAAGCTAAAAAGTGAAGTGAGATCAAGAATGAGAAAACAAATATACTAGGCATATTTCCACAGTAATTAGCACTTGATGTCATTTTTTATTCTTCATTCAGTCCACACTAGAGGAATTTGTTCTAAGTTCTTCCATTCAGTCATGACTATCAGGGGAATGCATATATTCTCTCCCACTATATTTGTCATGGCTATGTTCCAGTGCAGATCTAACAATTAGTTTGCCAACAACTGATACTGCAAGACATGATCGGAAATAATCTCCCAAAAGACTAAATATCAGGATATCTCCATTAACACAACACTATTACAGCATGTCTTAAACAGAATGATATCAATAACCATTGACATAACAGTAAAGGGTGCACTAACAGCATAAACTTGAAACATTTAAGGTATGTTCACTTCCTGCAGCAATCTCAACTACAGTGGGGATCTAAAAGGCTGTTTGCAAGTGTCAATTTGTTTTATAAAAAAAGAGAACTAAAACAATACGTGAGACAGTGAAGGCATACCTTCACAATATAAAGAAACAAGAAATGAGTACGTTTATATGTTTATTCTATTACAATTCTGAAAGATAACTGACACCAAAATTAGTGACCCTAAAGAGAGTAAAACCTTGACACCGAGGTATATTACCTCAAGTATCACAGTCAAAGAGTAAGACCATAAACATAATATTGGACAAAAAGTATTCCAGTAATGGATCTAAATAACAGTTTGGCAACTGACAGGCGATGAAATGTAAAAATTACCTTCCAAACAGAAAATAGATGCAGTTTAATGATTGAATTTGCTAGCATCAATTGAAACCAAAAGCCAACAATTTCAGCTTATAAACTTCATCAGAAACATGAGGAAGATATTTCAGGCACATAAACCAGGGGCAGCAATTATGTCAGAATAATTAATAAGTGTTTGGATTACTATGAATATCAGTCGAGTATATTATAAAAATCATCAAGTATACACAAGAAAAGTCAATTATCTAATTCTTGAAATCAAGGTGCCATTATAGAAATGAAACAAGTTAACAATTTAACATTCAGCTTCAATGCTAAACTTCAACGCAATTTGAAAACCAAAACAATATCCCAAAAAGAATAAACACTTACAGTCTGCAAGTCCAGTACATGAAGATCATTGAAAAAGATTGAATGAGAACAACCGCCAAAAATTAAAAGGTAGCGTTCTGCATGCACAGCAGCTATGTGATCAAATCTGGGAACTGGAGGTGTCTGCCTATAAAAGCACAACAAAGTGAGCAGAACTCTTCTGGAAGCACATTAGCAGCAATTCAGGGCAAAAATAAATAAATAAAAAAATTAAAAATAAAAAAAATAAAAAAAGCACATAAGCAGCTGTCTGTAAAAGTAAAATCAACACTTACACCGTCTCCAACGCACACCAAATCATTGTCTCCAGATCAAGAACATGGACATCATTCAGCAGTCGCCTCTGACTGTCTTCTCCACCAAACATTATTATTTTAGAGCCGACCAGTGTTACAGACTGGCCACCGCGAGCCACCTGCTTACCCAATAAGCAAACCAAGCAAAATTAATCATAAAATTTAAATTAATCTCACACATACATATAGCAAAGGAGAAAGGTTGACACGCCTGTTCCTCCACTAATTAAACAGCTGACAACTAGGAAAATTTACTTAAATAAAAAAGGCACAATAAAATGAAATGGAAATCACTTCGCTCAAAAACAGAAATCTAGATTTACAGTAACTGGAGTCAGTCAGTTACCGGAACTTTTCCAGAGGTCTCCATAACACCGCAGTGGTATGATTCCAAATCAATGAATCGCACTACAAGTTAGCTAACAAGGCATAAGATTCAAAAGAAGTTCAAGTGGTTTCTGAACAGTATGAAAATGGCTTTCGAGGAACAAACCTTTCAAGCTGTCAAAATTATCCTTTGAATGACCACCAAGAAGAAGAAGTTTGTTTTTCCACTTAATCTACCAGCATAAACAACCACATATGCAAATTAGTTGTGTGATGAGTGTAAAGCAATAAGAACCACTTTGGACAAATGAGAGTAGAGTAAAATTTTAACACAAGACATTTATGAATCAACACCTTACCATTCTGTGGCCTGAAGAGGCTGGAAGAACTTCCAGGGAACTACCATCAGTAGTTTTATCAGCTTTTGGTTCCATGTTCAGTTTTAGAGTAGACCATGCCAAATTTCTAAGATCAAAAACCTGAAAAGTAGCCAATTATGACAAGACCCAAGAAAGAAGGATTTTGACATGCAGAAGTGAATAATCATGTCCGATACCTGAACATCAGATAGGTACCGTCCGTTACGACTTCCACCAGTGATGTAAAGTTTTTCATCAACCAAGCTTGCAGCATGCTACAGAGAGGAATATATGGAATGGTAAGTAACTGGTGCATACATAACACGTGAAAAAAGAAAAAGTAAAAGTAAAAAAAATGATGAATCGTTACTGTATTTGGAAAGGATTTAAGAGCAAAAATAAATAACTAGTTCTGATCTGAAGCTTTGAAGGGAAGAAGATGTTACAACTGCTTAAACCAATGAAATCTTGCTGACCTCAAAAATTTAAGCTAATCTCTAGAATGAACATAACCTTATAGCGAGCCGGGGGTCGTGGACCAGATACAGATAGTGCTACCCACTGGTCATAGTTTAGTGCCAAATGCCAATCACTACTATCTGTGCCCATACAATCTTTCGTGGAGGTCACTGAAATTTTTCAGTTCTTGAGCTTAACAATTATCTGAAATGAGAGTAAAAAAATGGATACACGTAATTACTCTTAGAATTTTTAATAAAAAGGAAAATAAAATGCAAGAAAAATGAAACTCTCTTTGAATGCATATTTCATCTAATGAAGGAAGAATGATGGTTATAAATTCATCAGACCTGATAAGTAGACACAAACATATGCAAATTTCTGATACAAGACTAGGAATATTTTAAATTCAAATACGTATATGCCTTGTGGCGCTCAAAGGAGAAGATAACCATCTAAGATGATTGGTCATGAACCATCATCATCATCTTTGCCTTAATCCCATATGAATGGGGTCAGCCACAAGTACAAAAGGAAGCCAAAGAGATTACAGCCAATGCTATGAGAAAGACAAGACCTGAGATTTAAGGCCAAGTAAAGAAGAGTTGACATACGCAGCCCAGAAGTTCAGTGAAGTTGAATAAGCAATATTAATGTTGCCAAAAATGGAGGGCGAGCATTGGTGCAATGGTAAGATTGCTTCATTGTGACCTGGAGGTCACGGATTCAAAATAAGGAAACAGCCTCTTCACATGAGAGGGTAAGGTTGCATACCTCTGACCCTCGTGCACTAGGTTTAACGGGGTTGGCAAGAAATAGAAGATTAAGGAACTGAAGGAGGGAAATTTCAACCATTTCTCAAGACCAATAGAACTACATTAATGAAAAAAACTCCAAAACATATCTTTTCTCAACAATATTTAAAATTCCAAAGTTCAATATCTTTAAATTCCTACATTTTCTCAGCAACCAATAAAACTTTATCACACTAATCGTTAAAAAAAATAAAAAAAATAATAAAAAAAAATGAAACTTAGTTCCACTATTCCGAAATTCTTTTAAACATAAATAGTCAATAAATTAATTTGCCTGTAATTGAGTTAAAAATAACAAGATCAATTTCGGTACAATTCATGAATTAAAATTCACACCAGCACCTCATATAATTGCACGCACTGTTCGATTGTGTGTATATATACAATTCAAAAATAAATTGAAAAGATCGAAGAAAAAGAGCATTGATACTAAAATTAATCAAGAATTATGCGAAATTGCAATGTGTACAAATAGATCAGATCGAGATTTCCTTGCCTGAGATTCGGATCTGCGAAGGTGATAGAGAGAGAAAGAGAGCAGAAGACAATGTGGCTGAGATCGGGATCGAACCCTTCCCTCGTTTCGAAGTTTAATGTGGAGATGAAATGAATTTATTTCTTCCAAGTTCACTTTTTCCCCCCTAAAATGAAGAGAAACGGACAGAAAAATGAACTCGCGATTGATTTACCTGTACGTTCTTCAAAGTTCAAACAACCATAACGATAAACCTTTTTTTATTAGTATTATTAGTATTGGCAAAAAAAATTCACACACACCATAATTACACACCTATCCTGCTCATTTGAATACTAGAACCATATCACTGTGCCACAAAGCAATGACAATAACTATTATTTACCTTCTCAAAATAAAATATAAAAAATAAAAATGTAATGCATTTTTACATGAATTATATATATATATGTATATATAATTATTATGTATATTTAAAAAGTACATGAATTAAATATTAGGCACGTGTTAGTGTCTTTCTCTTGCTAAATCTATATATATATTTAAATTTATAGATTTTTTGTTTTTTATAAACAATTTTTTTATTTATAATTTTTTTTGTTAATCATATTTTTGTTTTCAATATAAGAAGTTGAATTGTCCAACAATCCCACTCTTGAATTTTTGATTTATAATATTTGACTGTTCCAATTTTTAACATTATTTATTTGTTGAAATGTGATCTAGACTAAACATGAACATGTCTATTACTTGTCAACACCGCAATTACATATAATGAGAAATTCGATTCCTACTATAATTTTCATTTTAAACTGTTCCCTTGTGACTATAAATTTCATTTCGAGCAATTTCTTTGGAAGTTTATTTAGTCATTGGCTAATATTTCTATTAGCATTTCTTAAATCTGAATTTTTCTACAAGAAGTATTTAGTTGGTAACAAATTTTGGTGTTATGAAAAGTAGACCTATACATCTCTACTACTAACATAGAGTACACATTGAGAAATTGTAACTATTACATTAATTTTTTTATTTTTTATTTTCCCCTTAATTTCTTGTTAAAACTTGAGATGTTAAGAACAAATTAAATGTAAAAGTACATGTTGATACAAAATCCTACATGGTTGAGTACCAAGAGCCTTTTAAGTAAGAATGGAGCAGTAACGATTAATTTGGTGCCGACCCGGAACACTCCGATCAAGTTAGTGTTTGAGTTAAAAAAAAAAAAAAAAAAAAAAAAAAACAATTAATTTGGTGCCGACCCGGAACACTCCGATCAAGTTAGTGTTTGAGTTATAAAAAAAAAAAAAAACAGGCGTTTAATTTTTGACATACCTCCCTAGGCCATAGGTTAACCGACAGGACCATTGTGATTGTGGTAGTGCCCTGTCACATAATATAGATTCTTTTTCGTTGTTGTATAGCTTTTACAAATTATATCAAGATTTATGTTACTAATTAAGATGTGAATGGACATAAATAATTATATATATATATATATATATCTAGGGATTGAACTTGGGTTTTTTTTAAATTTATTTATTGAAATTGGTTTGACTGGGATAACAGGCGAACAGTGATATGCTTTGCACGTTCACTTCTGTGAGGACATGTTTCATGCATCAAAGTAATATACACGCATACATACATACATCCATACATATATATATATATATATATACACACACATAGGAATGCTTAGCACAATATACATATATATGAATTGTGCTAAGCATTCCTATGTGTATATATATATATATATATATATGAATTCAATAGAAGAAAGGAATGCTTAGCACCCTTCGATATCTGTCCGCAGTTCTCATCGTTATATTTATTCTTTTTGACATATGTCCGCAGCTCTTTAGTTTTTATATTCTTCATATTTTAGGATACATTATGAATATGAAACAACTATTAGGAGGACACTCTCATTATACTCGTGCCCTTAACCCATTGAATTACAAGGTTGTGAAGTTTAAATTTTCTATCTATATAGGAGGTTAGTTGAAACTACTAATTATTTACTAAATACCCAAGAGACCCACATTGACAATGGTTTAAAAACTTCCAACTCTAACCCCTAACTCGAGCAACAAAGGAACATGTCCAAAATATGAGTCAAGTTGAAGTTGTAATCGGGTTGACCCATGTAAATCACATGGTCTTGGATGCCAACTATTGCCAAGATTGAAATAAGAACAATTTGTTCTACATTAGGGATGAACGATATACTATCTTCATATACAAGCTATAAACACTATAGCCCAAAATGCCCAGATTTTTTCCACACCCCTAAAGCAAATGGGTCAGACTTTACAATCGTAGAAAAAATTTCAATACCCAAGGCGTACCGAATTCATTTTGGACCACAGAAACCAAAATCAGTTCATCAACAAGTTTACTGAAGCCAAAATGGAAGTCATCTCAATGCATAATCTTAGTCTCCTCTCAGAAACAATAACGGTTGAATTCTGCCATTTTTGAATCCTCTATAATGTAATAGTTTCAGGGTCATGTAAAATCCAGCATCTCTCAATGCATTGTAAAGCCCGGAGGAGATATTGACCCCAAATAATATTTAGCACTGCACTCGGTACATTCAAATGCTATAATACAAGATATAACTTCTGGGAGTGATACGCATAGTGACCGGAATAATAATTTGGGCCACGGCTATTTTACTGCTAAAATCCACCTTAGTCTTGATTAGCTTCTTCTATTTGTTCATCCTCTGGTACCCCGCGAAGATAGAGAACATTGTTACACCTGTAGCAACAATACAATACAATACACGTAAACAAGAAGTTGCAACTCTTTAAGCCAAAGTTATGTCCGGTAATAAAAATTCTTCTAAAAAATACTAGATGCATAACTGTGCTACTTTGATACAGGGATTGCAGAGAATCATCAATAATAAACAGGCAACTAAGTGTGTTTGAGGATATTTTGTATTCGCGAACACACACACGTACACAGAGACCAGCCTCAAAGCGTAACCTTTGATCATGTAAATAGGTAATAATTATTGTAATAGATCAATTTGTTAGAACTTCCTGATGCTTCTATCAGTTACCAAAAGCATCCACAAGACTTGTCATAATATGCAGATTCAAAAGAAGTTTAATAAATAACTAAAAAGTCACAATTATGTGGCATAACTTCCTAGAGCAAGCCTTAATCAACCCCTTCTCCCAAATCCAACAAAAAAAAAAAAAAAACACACACACACACACACACACACACACTATTTAACCTTGTCATTTTTGCACTACTTTTAAGCCGACCCCAAGTAATTGGGAAAAGGCTTGGTTGTTGGTGGTGTTGATTTTTGCACTTGTGGCAAAAGAAAAAGAGGACGACAAAATAAGTAGAATAATAAAAGACATGACTCATAGTTGAAAAGAATAACGCAAGGCAGGTCATCGAAAGGTTCTCAGAGACTCGCCATGCAGCTTAATTTAAACCATTCTCCCATCCTAATCACCCCAATTACCTCACCTTCAAGTTGACTCAACCCTAGCTCTCTCTCTCTTCACAATCAATGTCTTACTTTATTGGTTTGAGATCATCCACCCATTTGGAATTTCAATGAAGATGCATATTAACTCAAACTCGAGAGACATGCATCACTGTAATCTTAGGGTACTATGGGTCAAGAGGCACACTACAGCGATTGAAAAAATTACCTGATCAGAATCTCTCCAAGATTTCCAGTGAATTGGCCTTCAATATATTCTTCAGTGTTGGCCAGCTGCAGATAAAAAATCAAAAATAAGAATGACAAAATGTACTCAATGAAGAAAAATGCTGAACTGGATAAATATAATGCTTTCCAAAGTCAAATATTGCCAAGATAAACAAATTATGTGTAAAAAACAGAATAATTATAGGTAACATGCAGATGCTTCAACATGGTATATTGCCCAACACTATCACATCACACAAGCTACTCAACATGGCAGCTCAGGAACAAAATCAGGCCACTGACGGAAGGCAGACGGCACAATCAAACACAAACAAATTCACACGCAAATGCAGGCATTAAAGAACATAATTTCTAAATATAAATATACTGAAAATAGAATGTATGGCAATACCTGCAAGTTCATGTAAGAATCCACGGAAACGAGAAAACCTGAAAGGATTTGAAATCATTCATGTCACTAAGGCTAATATTAAAAAAGAAAAAGCATGCACAAATTACAGAAAATTCCCAAGTAAGAAGGAAAAAAAAGAAAAGAAAAAAATAATGAAAGAACCACTGAAAGCAAAGTACCTTTGTATTCCATTCCCCACTTGAGTTTTACAATGACAGGATTTCCGATCAAATTGTTCAAGAAAGGTTTGGGATTAACAGGTACAGTCTGCAATATCCAGATAATTAGTTTCAAGAAGCAAGGTGCATGCAACAGTATTGTTTATGGAAATTAAGCGAACTGGTCCAGAATACACTAGCATGAACGAGTTTTATCTGAATCTAAGAACTTAAAAGTTCATATATAGATCATTATGCAAATATACATTAGCCAATGTTATACCCAAAATTGCCAGACTATTAAAAATTAGTTACAATAACAGAAACATCCCATACATCTATAGCAGATAAAAAAAAAATGATCATATTAAAAAATTTTGCACTGCAAAAGACATAAACACGAGTAATTGATGTTCAGAGAAAGTTAAAACTCCCTACTGTCTTCACTGACAAGTGCCAGATTCTAATACAAATCCTTTTTTATGAGAAAGTAGATGCTGGAGTTTTCGTGTGTCTTGAAAGAAGGAATCTTTGGATGCATGCATAGAAAGGATCTGTAACTTAATTAGCTACTTAAATTTCATTTTCAAGGGGCTATTGCATGGTGCAATGGTATGAACTCGACTACCAAGCATGAGAATTTTTTTTTTTTTTTTTTGATAAGTTATGAGAATTCAAGTCAGAGTGTAAGAAAAATCATTTGTATAAATAAGGCCTGCAGCCATTCCCCACCCCGGGGCACTTCATGCAAGCTGGACCAACAATAAGTAATAGTTTTTTTCTGTATAGGTTGGTATGTAGATCCTAGAATTGTTTAATAATTGCAAAACTCCACCAGCTAAAGGGGACAACACATACAGTTCCTTTGTGGTGTCAAGGACAACAAAGAGTTTCTGTTCCCAAAATCTCAAATTAAGAAATCATCTATTAAGTATTTCTCTATCATGTTTTGGACTGCAGGGGGTTT